CAGTACATGTTCTAAACGTCAAAATATATACATACAATATAAATAATATACAATTGACTGTAAAATCCAAAGTCTATACAACTACAGCAGCTGTTCCAATACTTTAAAATGAAGTAATAATAAAAGGGACAACATGAACCAGCTTTGTTTACGAATTCCAATAGAATCTTAACAAACTAACTATAAATATTTTAAAGTATGGAACAGCCGCTGTAGTTGTAAAGACTTTGGATTTTACAGTCAATTGTATATTATTTATATTGTATGTATATATTTTGACTTTTAGAACATGTACTATAATAGTGGTTTCTAACTGTACTGATGTAAAAGGTGTCCCTCTGAAGATGGTCTCTGAAGACTGAAACATGTAAGGGCACGAATAATTGAAATAAGAAAATCGTAACCAGTCACACTGAATGAACCAATTTAACTTTTTCAGATGCAGGTGGGTTTCAGTCAGAAGTGCAAAAACTCACCAAGTATTGTGCTTGTGACATTTGATAACATCCACTGGTGCTTGTACAATAGCTGTTGATTGATTTGTGCAAAATAGCATCATTTGGACTGCAAGAGAATTCAATGCTGTTACTGGCTGGCAGAATTTAAGTTTCACAAGACTGCAGTGCAAGATCAGCCAGTATCCACCAAAGAGCCACACAGTTGTTAATTGGCACCAGCATTTGCTACAATATGGTGTTTCTAGTAACACAGTGCAGGTGCTGGACTGTGGACAACACCTGAACAAGTCAGAGAATTTCAGGAAGCCTTCCAATGAAGTCTGTGGAAGTCATTTGGTGAGCGAACTGTGAATTATGAACTCCTTGTGCAACAGCCCATGATGTAGTATGTAAGTGGCTGAAATTCAAGACATAAATTGTTTCTGAAAGCTCAGGAAAATAACTTGCTATGGTGCTATGACTTCACTGCCAACATTCTGTCTTTAATAGACAATGACAAGGACTCCCTCAGAAGGTCGACTTCAGTCACAAGGGTACTTTTAACATCTTGGGTAAGGATATTCACCATAATTTTCACATTTGTGGATCTCAGAATTCTCATGATATGACGGGACATGAACAAGCTAGCTGAAAATTGAATGTACAGTGCAGATTAACAAACACAGGAGAGATAGGGTCTTCTTTGAAAGAACAATCACAAATGCTGCATACCTTAATGTGCTAGACAGTTATGCCGTGCTGCAGGTACCTGATGAATATATCTCCCAGCAGGATGGTCACCACCACATTTCTGGATACCTGTAACTGGATCTCTCAGTGCACAATTAGCAGGAATGTGAACTGGTCAAAGTGGCACCCTTCTATGGCCATTCCATCACCTGATCTGACCTGACTAGACTTCTTTCTTTGGGAATACAGCAGAGATGTCATGTGTCAGACCAAAATCATTGACCTGTCTGATTCACGCTATGGGATCATCAGTGCAATAATGTCAGCAACTCTGAAGATACAAAAAAATCACCTGGACAGAAACAGAATATCGGTTAGATGTCTGCTTCCTTGCAAAGAGAGGCATATATCAGGATCTGCTGATGTGACAAAATGTTTGATGAGTTTTTACCCCTTTCATCTCAAATAACTTTCATATGTCTTCATTCGAACAGAAGTTAATTAGTATGTCATCTGTGTTCATTTTGGGCACACTGTTTTATTTTACCTTGTGTATCACATTTTTATTTCACATTTTCATGTATTTTTTTTTTGGCAGTTTTGTAACTGCTTAATTTATAACTGAATTGCAGTTAAATATAATATGCTTCGATCATATTTTACTCTGGCTTGGTAAGTCTCATTTTTTGTACATATTAGTACACACAGTTCTTGCTGAAGGACCAGAACTAACTAATATTACCAGTGGCTCTTCAATTGTGTTTGTGGCGTAATTTGCTTCTTTTTCATGAGAACACTTTATAAGACAAACTCTAAAGGTCATAAGTTTTTCAGACAATGGTGAATAGTGTAATATTAACAGTATGATATCGTGAGGCCTACATCATGAATATCTTTGCCTATCTTTTTAAATTGTGTGGTGTTTTATTATGTTCTGAATATCAGAAATCATAGCATACACCATTTTGCAATTCATATAGAACAGTCCATTATTTTAATCTAAATCATTCAGTGCTGGATTTCATTTTGTGAAAGAAATGATTAGCTATGGCATAAGTTACATAATGCAGAAACAGAGGAATGTACAGTAGTCTGTCAGGGATGCCATATCACGGGGTTTGAGATAGTGGAGGAAGCCAGAACAGTGTCTGCAGATTTGTGGTAGTGTCAGTGGGAGGGACCTGCATGTAATGTGTCAATTCTGACATACAGTAGTTTGTGAAGAAACTGAAATTCTAGTCTTAAACTACAAATTCCAGTATGGGGATTGTAGGATAGCATGGTATAAGTTAGCATCAAGAAAGTGGTAGTACTGCAAAGTAAATGAAGGAAAAAGACAGGACGAGGAGGGTCCCAGAAATGTTGCTGGATGGAAATAACTGCTTCTGATTTGTTCATTTCATAATTTGTCGTCGTCATTCAAACAGGAAGTCTACATTGGTGTTAAGGATAAACAAGAACCCCTACATGGCATTGAACTGTTTTGAGCATTGATTGGCTGAGGGTTTTGATTACAAATAGTGTTCATCATGTTAGGTTTAGTAACAAAGACTCAACCTTACTCTTATTCCATGAATCATCGTTATTCACTGAAAGACGTGGCTCCACGTGTTTCAGGTATATTAAACAGGAAAGCTTGAATGTACTAATGATGTTCTGAAGAGAGTGCTGTTGATTCAAAGGGCAGGGCCTGAGGTACAAAACTTTTTTTTAGTCTGGTTGAAGATGTGGATGTCATTCAGGAAGCAGTGGAAGGAGTTGGAGTCCAAAATACAAATATCCTGGGAAACATTGTTGCTGTGGGTGGGTTGGGGGCAACATAACTTAGATGTCTGTCAACAAGCAGGGAAGATTCTGAATAATCACTTCTTACTACAGATGAATGAGCCCTTTGATGTGGAGGAATTTAAGAGTGATGAATCCAAATACATATGAAACATTGAATCATTTGTTACACATTTGAAAGAGCAAGCACCCTGTTGTTGTTTCAGAAATAATGACTGAGCACCACAGATTAAGTCTGAAGTAGGAAGTTCCTTAGGACTTCTGATTTCTCTGCTAAGTATATATACCAGACTTTGCAACAGTTAGTCAGCCTTGCTATTAACTAACTAAGAAGACTGTTGATTTCTGTTGGGGATAACAAAAAGCTATTGAAATCATGAAGGACCAAATTACTTTACCATTTACTCTGGGTTTTTTCCAGGGTAGTGCCAAAACTAATGGTAGCAGATGCTAGTCCTGGATTTGAAACATTGTTTATGGAGGTTCAGGATGAACCCTGGGCTATATATATGATATGCCAGTCTAAAATCCTACCTTATAGATGCTCCCATTGAAAATGGATTTCTACTTTCATCCTTGCCTGTTATACACAGAGGTCAGAATGGTCATAGGTCACACCTTGAGGCATAAGAAGCAGTACACAATTTGAAAGCAGCCTGAGTAAATGTACTAATATCTTCTCAGGTGATCAGCTGTGTTCGTGTTGAGGGTTGACATCAAACCTGATGGTGGGGATCTCTGAAACTTCAGATTTTTACCCTTCATTGACGTGGCTGATAGCTTGACAGGATTTTAATACATTTCTTCACCATAGAAGCTTCAAATCCTACGTAGCTTGAGTAAACATTGCTTCTTAGCCCTTTTAAAATTAATGACATCTCAGAAATATTCAGATTCTATCTGCTACATGCATTGCATCTTTCTATTTGTATGTCATTTCGTGTTATAGGTCTTTTGCTCCAGTTATGTTCCCTTTCTCCATTTTGTGTGTTAACAGTTGCAACCACTAGACTGCCATAACCCATACCAGTAACTCCTAAGGAAAGTACATTTCATTAATTGCTGTTCTCAATTTTCAGGACTAATTAAGGTTTATTTATAAAAATGCATTGTAAATATTGTGTAACTAATTTTTTCTTTGTAAATATAAATATGTATGTGAACTTACCCAAGCCTGTCAGCCTTGTGTTTTGATTGCTGAACATTTTGCATGTGTGTAAATAAAGTGAATGAAAATCATTTTTAATTACTGTTGTCTTGTGTGAATAAATATAAAACACATAATTGATTATAGAACCACTGTTTTTATGCAAGTTCTATGACAAAATTTTGCAGAATTTGGAGCCGATTTTGACGATACTGGTTTGAATTTTGTGTTGCGTTATATCTAGGATACAAATACATTCTGTTTTTCTGCTTCCTGTATGGTAGGAAAGTTTAATTTCACTATCAGTAGAGAACCTGTTTGGAGCAGAACAGGCTGGCAGAGATATCTCATTTTGTGTGTAGGAAGAATTGATTGATAAACAGGGTACTCAAATGTGATTGGTGTCTAATCTTGTAAAGTAACAGAGTGTGATCCTAATCATTTTTAGTGATTGAAAAAGTAAGGGAAACATTTTATTGTAAAAATTCATAGCAGGTTGAAATTCTGTTGGATATATCATAATTCCACCAGGAAGCTCCATAAGTTCTGAATCACCTGGATTCCTTTTGAAGGCCATTGAAGCCAGTTTAAATGTCTTAAGATCATAGATTGCTTGAGAATATAGCCTCATATAAGTCAAACACTGTCTCTGATCAACCATGTTGCTTGACAAAATGAATGTTGATATTGGGCTCTAAAAATATTATGTTGAATATGAAGCACTTAAGTGACTTTTATCTTTATATAACTTTATAGAGAAATGTAAATTAAGTTAAAATAACTCTCTTAGATTCCATTAAGAGACTGATTAAATTCTGTAATATTACATGATAATATTTCTTAACTCTACTCCAATTTAATGCAGATTCGTTATTCTAGTTGAATAATTTGCAGAACTCTTTTGAGTAGTTTTTTTACTTCTTTGTTCTGGATGTTTTCAGCCGTTCGCTCTGGTGATTACTACATGTTTGAAGAGCTGGATGATGATGTGCTGGAAGAGAAGGATGAAACATCCTCAGATGATGAAGGTGGCAAGCATGATGGTGAGAGGCGCATAACTCTTAGTAAGGTAAGGAGCTTTCTTGTTGAGGTTTTGGTTGAAAATAGAGAAGGGATGGCACGTCTGTTTGTGGCACAAGAAATGACTGAGTTAATCTACAGCAGTGGTTTCCAAGCTTTTGCACTCATGAGCCCCTTCCTTCAAGAATCATAATGTGTGGACCCTTATTCAGAATAATGCCTCTTTAGTTGTATTTATTTATTTCGAATATTTCTACCTAGTTTGTTCTTTTATTGTCATTTCCTCTAGAAAGTTCCTTAATCTGACCCAGTCCCACCTGCTGTATGATGCTTACAAATAATTTATTTTTGGCAAGGAAACAAGGTGTCACAACCATACTTCTGAGCACCACAGTGAAATGGAAACACAATGAAAAATGAAGTTGTCAACAAATATGTCAGCCCCACAAATCTCTTTACTTCTCATGTTAATCGTGGATCACATTTCTGGATTCTTTGATCTGAAACTCAGTATATTAAATCATATATTTCATAATTTTTATAATGTTCTAAATAACTTGAAATTGTCCATAATCATCTCTACTTTTGATATGGTATTTCGACGTTTTGGTTCCCAGTTTTTGGGTTATTATAGAAAATAATAATCCATTAAAATATATGCTCTTTGTAATGTCTCCAGTTATGGTATTTTAACCTGTCTAGCCTTTGTCAGCATGGAAAACATGAAGGAACCCACTTCTAGAGTGGAAATCTCACAAGACAGGATTTTGGTTACTCCCAGTAATAGGATGGTGATGTCATACGTGTACTTTTGAACGAATATTTAGACAATTTAAACATTTATTTGAGGGTGATCTAATTATGTACATTGGAACCTTAGAATTGGTTAGAGGATAAGTTTTGATATGGTGCTGTCATTTCTTCTGAAATGTTATGGCCTTACCAGTTCCTGGATACAGCCTTCAAGACTGACATGGAACGGGCAGCAGAATTGGCTCTTGCAAAGGGTACAGCGGAGGAGGATGTTGCTGATGGTGGTCGACGATCTTCAGTCAAACTAACACGAAACAAATCGTCCTTCTTCACATGCGAGACAGAGATCACACCCCAAGCGCAAGCAAGCAGTCCTTCTTTACGTAGTGACTATGTGAGTCATATGTTTCTGTTTCTTGCTGTCTCAAATGTTATTTCTCTTGCATCTTCCTTGATTTCTTGTGTATATCACTTCATGGTTTCTGTTTATTGCTTATTATCTTTCTGTCTGGTATTCATCTACACGTCTTGTTATTTACATTCTTAGCCATGTACTCTTTCATTTATTGCATTTGTTTGCATCTGTGTTGTAAGAGACTGTAGGATGATTAGGCTGTTCAGATTTTCAGTAATTCGTATAGCCATTTTATTACCAGTGTTTTCTTCTGCATCTGAAGTATTACAGCATTCTGTTTTGGTTACCGGAAGAGTCTGGTCTGATGACACAAACTGTTTCCTGTTTGGGTCATTACAGTTCAGTTAGCAGAATGTTGGGCTTACAAGCTAATGATCAGGAATTGAGTCCCAGTAGGAGCAACCTTTATCATTCACCCTGAAGGACACTGGTGGTTCTTTGAGGGAGGTGGAGCTCAGTTGATGTGTGATACTGGCCACCCAGCTCTCATTTGTTTTATTAAATTCAAGAATGCATAGAGCTTTGCTTTCCTGTCTATAATGAAATTTTAATCCTAAGCACTTAAAGGATGAGTCACATAAAATTCACTGTAAGCAGATATACTGCAATATATTTATATATATTCATCAAGATACAGATATTTTAATGTAATATGAAAATTTTCTGGTTCTGGAGGTAGCACAGGCACATTCATTGTTTCTCTAAACGTCTATGACTGGCTGATTTCTTATACCACATTATCCATTGTCTGAGATAGGCCTACATTTATACAAAGTTTCAGCAGTTGAACCAGCTCCAGTATCATAATTGTTGATATGGATCTTGGTGAGCCATGGTCCCCCCCCCCCCTCCCCCATGAAAGCACAGGAAAGTAATCAGGACTTAGATAGAAAGCCTCTTCTCTCTTCAGGATCCTGGTTTCAGAGTACATCTGAGCAACAGATTTGAAGTTCTGACTTTGTGTGAACCTTTGAGAGTTGGCCTGTTTAAGGACTTTGAATCTGCAGTTCAAGTATTCATCGCTACCTAGTGCTGTGGCCGTCCAAGTTTGTATACAAAATGTGTTAAAGTATAGTAGTGGTTGTAGAACTGCTGTTGTAAGGAAAAGTGCAGTGACCTGAATAAATCAAGTGCATCAATTACCAGTGGTTGGATGGTCTGCGGACTTCTTCACTCTGTGTGTGATCCCTTCTCGTCGAGCAAGGCCCGTTAAGCCCTGAGAGAGACTTTCAAGGCTCGAACCTAGGACATCATCCTTTCCATAGTACAAATACTTCGACGTGGTTCCCAGACCACGTAACCACCCAATTTCGATATCAACGACAAAAGTGCAGAAGCACAGCTAAAAGCGGCTCGCATCGCAAAGCCTCAATAAAAGAACTCTCACGAGTGGCGCCCAATGCGAGGCATCACTAAGGCGTCAACAAAGAGCACTTACAGAATCGAACCCAGGATTCTGACCACTAGACCACAGAGGCGGTCATGAAACTAATCAGGCTGATTAAAATGTGTTTAAGCGAAACATATGGTAAAGTCTGTTTAGGTGAACAAGGTGAACATTTGTCTGATAATTTTCTATCTAGAATGATCTAAAATGACAAGATGCTTTATCGCCACTGTTTTTCAACTTTGTTTTAAAATATGGCATTACAAAGGTCCAGGAAAACCAGGTAGGACTAAAATTAAATGGGACACATCCGCTGCTGGTCTATGCTGATGATGAAATCTGCTGGGTGATAATGTAAATACCATAAAAAAAACACACAGACTTTAATTTACACTAGTAAGGAGGCTGGTCTAGAAGGAAACACAGAGAAAATTAAATGTATGTTGCTGTCTTGTCACCAAAATGGAGGGCAAATCATGACATAAATATGACTCAGGATAGGTAGCATTGGAGGGCTATTGTGAACAGATTAATGAACCTTCGGGTTCCATAAAATACTGGGAAGTTCACGAGTCACTGCACAGTTGTTGGCTTCTCAAGAAGGACTCAGCTCCATGAGTAAGTGAGTTACATAATAGCTCTCTGAATCAGACATTCCACTAAAATACGGAAAATAAAATAAGTCATGAATGATTAACTAAAGGAAATACAATTTTGTATGAGCATAAAAGGGTACTTTACATATTCAGTAAGGACAGTGATAATCTGCCAGTAAGGAGGTCACTACAAATTAAAATATGCAAGACCTGGCAGAAATTGGTAATGAAGCAAAGCGATAATACTACTTATACAGTAAACAGACAGTGAACTCAGATAATAAAGTAAAGGCCATTAGGAATGTGAAAGCTATAGACCACATGGATCAAGAAACTGAGGAAGAAGACCTTGGAAGATATTGGACAAATTAATTTGAAATATGTTTACAAGTGGTATAACTCCATGGCTGCTAGATGTTGGTAGAATATTGTAAAAAGGGAACTACTGAAGTTGACCTGCATGTGAAATTGACAGTGAGTTCAGCAGATACTTTCTGAGGGTTGCTGTTTTATTCACTGATGGAAACAATGACAGTTTGTTACTGTACCAGGATATAATTATGTCCAAGTCAATTTACGTGTAAAAAGCTATTGCAAACAACTGCAAATGAAATTGGTATCACGTAAAAGTAAGAACTCATCTGGATATCATCAACTATGTACCAAATCACTCTGGTCACTCTGTATGAAGGATTGAAGATATAAGAATTCTGTACATTTTAGATGTGATTATTCTCGCAATTAGCATGAACTCATATGACATATTTCTCAACCATTTAAGATTTTAATTATTAATTTCTGTTGCTTTTTAGTCTATGCAGGCTTAGCTTCTTACTGTTCTCTTGCTTTTAGTTTCACCATTTAACTGACACTAATTTCTCACTTTGTATGTATATATTTGTCTCTTTCAGTATTCAGAGTATTGCTTGTTAATTTATACACTAAACAGGGCTCCAAAATATTTTTGTCCAGAACCTGCTAGAAAGCTTTGAGACTGTTTTACATGTAACTATCCAAAACAGTTCAGCCACTTACTATATTAGGACTGTTAAAAAAAATAAGTGGGTTTTCTTTTCTCCCATAATATAATATGTGTGTAATACAACAGTTAAAAACAAGAATCACAGATTAAAATGGATGTATTTTACCACTTTTTCCAGTTCACTGCCCATATTGGTCCAGTCCAGACACCAGTTCCTATCCTTCCCCCCTGTTGGTCTGTTGGACAGTGCTGGCAACATTCCCCACTTCCACGTGGTGTCCAAGAGCAAGATCATCAACAGTGAACCGTCGTAAAAGCCCGAAATCAATAAGTAAAAGTCATGAACTCCAAGCATTAGCTTCTCATATACTTGAAATAAGCATTCTGCTCAATAGCAGTTCAGTTAAACACAGTGGACCTTATGGGCAACTTTACTCCAAGTGCATATATGTGTCTCATTAATCTACTGGTAAGGGGTGATAGGTAGTTAAAATATGACCAAAAGTAGAGCAAATTTGTCACAAATAAATTCCAGAATAAAAGACAGGATGAAAATTTGGAAGCTTTACATCCAAGCCCTAATAATTCACCATATTACCAAATTATTAAAAATGCTGTGGCTAATATGTCCAGTTATGGTCTGTTTCACCTTCAAGATCTTTGCCTACCTGAAAGTTTCAATTGTTATTGAGATATGGAATAATATTTTGGGAGGGGGGGGGTTGAAGGTGATAGTATAAAGGTATTTAAAATGCAGGAGAGGGTGTTGTAGATAATTAGTGGATTTGGTAAACAAGAGTCATGCAGGCAAATTTTTAAAGATTATGGCATCCTCACGATCACATATTTGTATATCTTAGAGGTGTCATGTTACATAAAAAAGCACAAAGCAGATTTGATCCACAATATTCGTAGTTATAATACAAGAATAAACAAGGATTTTCATGTTCAGTTCTGCAGAACTACATTATTTTAAAAAGTGTGGTAAATATGGGGATAGAATTGTATAGTAAGGTGCCAAACAAAATAAAAAACTTAGTGGATTTTTCAGCTTTTAAAAACGACTTAAAATCCTTTTTATTGAAATGTTCTTTTTGTACAGTAAATGAATTTGTTAGTTTTAATAAAAAAGTGGATGGTGCAAGTATATGTATGGATGTTATAGCCATCCATGAGCTCTATATAGTAGTTTGTGTATTTTTTAAAATGTTGTATTTATATATTGCTTATGATTGTAACAAATGTTGGTAGTATGCTTGTAACTTTGTAGATTTGTTTTGTTAACTTGTATTGCCGAATGACGTATCCAAGTGTTACTGTGTAGCAAAACAGATGAACATAAAATACAATACAATACAGTAATGAAGGAATTCATTTTTAGATGAATTCTCCTTTGAGGCAAATTCTCATGTGAGGATGATGGCAGAGAGGACCTGACATGGATATCAAATGATGGTGGGGTGTGATATAATTATATACATTAATCCTCACATTCCTACATTCAGAATGTAAGAAAAGGAAAAGCATGTGGAAAAACTGTGCACTGAATCTGGGGAGTCTTGAATATGAGACCACTGTCATTAAAGGCTAATGCCTTATCCCTAGACCAGTGGTTTCTCACTTGTTCATACTATGAATCCAATCGAAATAAACCATGAAAGAGTAAAAGGAGAGTAGCATGTTTTATACATTTCATGTTAAAATTATGAATAATAATATGTTTATACTGAGCAAAAATGATCATAAAAATAGATTGGTTTGATTGTCACTGACTTCCAAAACTGTTATCAGATTCCAACCAAAAGAATGAACACAATTAGAAATTAAAATATAATTTGAACTCCAAATTAATGTTATAGATATGATAAGGATTTTAATTTTTGTCACTTTATTAGAAGAATATCCTGACTAACAAGGCAGGAGGTACCCAACTCAAATACAAATTAATATCTAAGTCTCAACCTGAAGTGTAGGTAGGCTTTTGTGCTGTTTGACACATGGGTAACTCATAATTTCTGCATCAGATGGTGCCAACTTCCCCAGAAGGAAGTAAGGGCAGCTACCCTTCACGGCATTATCCGCAAGATGAGGCAGATGCAGCTTCAACTACAAAAGATGCATCTTCGGAAACAGAAGGTCAGTAAACTGTTCAAATATATTTCATGAAACCACTTATTACGACCGTCACAACACAACTAATATCAAGATCAGTGCCAGGTTAATGGCTCTGCTACATGTTTTGGCTAATTAATAGCCATCATCAGGCAAATACATGATAACATATATACACCAATGAACCGCAGTACTATTAAAATTGGATACAATATTATGAGTTATTAAAATACTTGACATAAAAAATACAATGAATTAAAATATATAAAACAGAAGTTATGATTAAAAACAAGAATAAAATTTGTTGCTTAATGTTTTACATCAATGAGTCAGTCGTTGGTTTTGATTTTGTTACATTCCCTCGGAAAAATTGGTGTATATATGTTATCATGTATTTGCCTGATGATGGCTATTAATTAGCCAAAACATGTAGCAGAGCCATTAACCTGGCACTGATCTTGATATTAGTTGTGTTGTGACAGTCGTAATAAGTGGTTGTATATTGTAACACAACAGGATGCATGAAATTAAAATTATATTTCATGCATTAGAAATGGACCAAGTCAAGAAGTATGGTTTAACTTGGCCATGTTTCTCAGGTTGCATGTTGGAATTCCTTTCGTAATTTTGAGGCCACAATTAGACATTTTGCTGTACCTTCATCACCTTCTCTATTATCTACATCCCTTTCCCCACTGAGTGCTGAAAATTGAACTAATCATGGTCCTGCATGAGTAGCACCATTCATACAGTCACCAGTTTGAAGCTCGCTTGACATTCAGATACTTTCGTACATTTGTATGACTCAGGAAAACTGTGTGGCAGACTCATCCTTCTGCCTGGCTGAACTGTTCATCAGAAAATTATTGAAGGAGGCTCTCTGATTCCATTACAGAACATAAATAACTGAAAAACTATGCTGTTATGTTTTTGTAATTATTTAACCAGTATCAAGGTTATAACACTCACTTCTGCTCTGATATGAAGTATCTGTCACAGTATGATGCAATTGGCTGTCTGTTGGGATTCAGAAATTTCCTTCCTCTCTCCTGCAACACATTAAGAGATATTTTAAGTCTGAAGTCTAATATCTGAAGTCTTCAACAACAAGTAGTGCTAAGTGTTAGAAAAATGTGCAGTTGGAATTTTTTAATCTTTCTTACTTAATTGTACTTTAAGTATTTAACAGATGTGCAAGCATTTTGAATTATTCATAACAAATTGTGACCGCAATCTGCAAGAAACAGCATACCAAGACAAATAGTTGTCATGTAGGCATGAAAACAAAAGTTTACTGAATGTTTTAGTATGGTACATAATTCCAACCTTGGAAGCTGTGCTGTTTTGATAGAAAGCTTGCCATTAGAGCATTAATAAAATTATGATTGAATCATGTTTGTTCACATATCCTGATTGCTGCTATGGATTTAACCCTCATTTCTTAAAGTTTCTTTAGTAATTTTATTCATGGGTTAACAGAGAATGTCAGTGTTACATTAATGATAGGAAGCATATTAAATACAACAAGCAGTTCTGTGATTATAGCTGTTAATCCCTTGGTATCTACTTTAAACACCATACTACATAGCATGCCAGTAATAGAAATAGCTAAAAAGCTGAGACTTAGGAAAGGTCACAGTCATACAGTTGTTTTATGGCCTGTCATTATGCCCATAACTCAGACATAGGTCACATTGACTTCACAGTATAACCTAATTATTGCACAGTTTTATATGCATTATGTGGCCTATATTGTGATATATTTACCATGCTGTACTGTGAAGTTTTAATTAATATTGCAGTTAGAATGAGTGTGGGACAGCGTATATGGCTGATGGTGAAGTTCGCATGGGCCTTTGTGGAAAGTGCCATGGTGACATTAACAAAACACCTGAACCACATATCCCGTGACTACCGCTATGTCATGGAAGTGCTTACATTGGAGAAGAAAATGCTTAAGGTACATTTACATTTGATTGTTCTGTAGTAGTAAGGGAGTTGATGTCATATAAATATACAATTTGGCACATGGAGTGTTCCATCTGAAGGCACTTTAGTTATTATTTATGAGAACATATTTGGCCAGCTGTAGTAGTCTTGGCTGTTAGCTTCATGTGTGGGCATTGTGCTTTGTGTGGAATGCTCTTTTAAGTCTGCACTGTGGCTCTTACAACCAACCATTTTCTTACACCATTGACACATTAGATATCAAAGAATATAAACACAAAGAAATTATACATTTATATTAGGAGCTGGCACAAGGTAGCTAAATGGTACAGGAAGGTTGTTTCCCTGCTAGCAGGGAATGCCAAGTGAAAATAAAACATTAGGGATAATTTTAAACTCTTTGGATGAGACAAGGCACATTATTGCCAAGGGACTGCTGTTACCTGTCACAAGTCTTGCCTGACATTCCTGCACTTTAGGCTAAAAGTGGTGCATACAGGCTTCATTCACATGGTCGAAGGTCCAAGTAACATGTAGGGTATGAATATTTTTCCGTAGTTTCATCACCAGCGATCTTACCCATCAATATATTCCCAGTTTGGAAATTCTTCCAAGGATTAATTAAATCCCTCTCCATGCAGAATGCAAAGAAAATAGTTTCAATTTGAAAATCTATTATATTGGCTACAGATGTGATAGTAAACCTTTGTTTTCTTGAATCAGTATTAATATAGTCAATTATATCCACTGTTTTGATGTTTGCTAGCCTGGTGGTCTTTGCCAGTTAAATGTGTTTTGTCACTAGTGAATCTTTCCACGTATCTGTATGCTTTCTTTAGGTGACACTTTTACCCATACTGTTCCAGCATTCATTTCCAAATTTCAGAGTTTCACATCCTCTGAGACACATGAAACATACTGGAAACAGAAGTCATGTTTAAACTTGTCTTGCTCTTCTGAAATATACTTGATTAATATGGGAGTGCATTTTTTATTTATTTATTTATTTATTTTTTTACTTTCTAATTGATCCTGATACAGGCATAATACAAGCCATAGGATATAGAATGAGTTACAAGATCAAAATTTAAGTTACAATAATTAATTGAAACATGTCAAAAACAAAAAACAAAACAAACATACATGCAAACAATTATAAAGCATAAAGCGGACATACATAAACAAATTTACATCGGATACAATAAATATCAAAATTCTAATTCTGGTTCACTTCATTAATAAAATTGACAAAATTATGTGAGATAAGACAATATTCCAATACAACAATTGATAACAGTAAACCAGATACAATATAAACAAGCTGTATGCTAAGGCATGAGTCAAAGTTATAAAAATTCATTATATAATATAAAGTTTATAGTAATATTTCATCAAAACATAAAATTATATTCATCTAATTCATTCTATATATCAGGTAAAATACCAATTCCATAGATCCATCTGCAAACGAAATGTAGAACCTATTAAGGCAAGAAATACTTGCTACCAAACAAATACTAGCAGTCCATTATAGGTCCCTAACACCATCTGCTAATCACAAAACATACTAATAAGCAGAAACAATTCAAATATACTTTAATTGTAAAATATATATATATGATTGAAAACCTTTACGTACCCATAGGGTGAAAGCGTCAATGTCATCCTTGACACTAAATTTCACCATCAAAGAACTCCTTCAATGAATAAAAGGAATTCAATAAAAGATAATTTTTAGGACATTTTTAAATTGGAGCCTATCCTCTGATAATTCCTTTATGTAGGGAGGTAGATGATTAAATGCTTTAATACCCATATAATAAACACCATTTTTATAGATTGCCAACCTTGGTAGTGAAAGGTGAAAATTATTTTTATTTCTAGTATTAAGATCATAAATCTCAGAGTTTGTTTTGAATAGAGAAGCATTATCAATTACAAATTTTAATAATGAAAAAATATACTGAGAATAGAACGGCAATATTTCTAGTTTTCTGAACAGGTCCCTGCAGGAGTCCCTATTTCCAGAATTCGTAATAATTCTTATAACCCTCTTTTGTAGTTTAAATACATTGCTACTATGTGAGGAATTCCCCCCAAAAATTATACCATATGACATAACTGCATGGAAATACGAGAAATAAATCATTCTCAAAGATTCTTGAGATACAAAGGGTCTTAAGAATCTAATAGCGTAGCATGCCTTGCACAATTTAGCCTTAAGTCCATCTGTGTGGTCCTTCCATGACAAGGAATTGTCAAGAGTGATACCTAAAAACTGAGTGTTTGTAACGTTAGGAATATGTTTATTTTTATAGCTAATATCTATAGGAGTTGTTAATGCATTGGTGGTTTGAAATTGCACATATTGTGTTTTATTATAATTTAATGATAGTAAATTAGAGTTAAACCATATGTTCAATTGTTCAAATACAAGAGTGAGATCGTTTGTAAAGTTTACTATATTGGGATTACTGATGATGATACTAGTATCATCGGCAAATAAAACTGGCTTAGAAATATTATTTACAACTTTGGGTAAATCGTTTATATAAAAAAGAAAAAGGATTGGGCCAAGGATGGAACCTTGAGGTACACCACATTCTGATGTGTACTTAGAATTTTATACATTATTTGCTGTTATTTTAGCATGGCCCTCATATTGTGACATGACAGCTAAAAGCGAGAATAGTGGAAGAAAATAAAAAGGAGGCAGCCATTGCTATGCAGCAGCATGGTAAACATATTTCTCTGGCAACGAATAACACACAATGACAGAGGAACCATGGCAGCAGTGTTTTCTATGCAGTGAGAACCAGTGGAGTCGACAGTCAGTCAAAGGTCAAGTCTTGAGTTATTAGCAGCCATTACCGAACAACAACTAGTGATAACAAAATAACAAGCAGAAGACTTTTTAGATGCTGTAGTTGTAGTGATATAGAGAGGGTAAATTAGTGAGGCTGTTGTAGTTTTGAGTTAAAATCACTCAGTAAATCCAGTTATCAATCTAAACCCCATGTGTAGTCACTAACACATGACAATATAAATATTTAGTAATGCTTCAGTGAATGGAGCTTTGTATACCATGCTGGGACATTGTATGTTGAATACAAAAATGCACTCCCAATTTGTTTGCTATGAACACTTTACACCTGATACTTGATAGTAGTAAAATATAACAAAATCAGAATTTACATAATATCACTTAAGTAGAAATATGGCTGAGATCTATTTGAGAACAGAAGCTGTAGTACTTTTCTGTATGTTCACTGATTGACAGAGACAAACATAAAAATCTCTTTGATGACTGAGATCTACAGTGCTTAAGAATTAATGTTCAGTGTAATTTTATTTTATGTGTGTAATAGACCAATTATTTTTTTATTCAGTAATTTTAGGACATTTACTTGTTTAATGTTTATATTTGTTGTTGGCTATTTAGGATAATGGTAAAAAATTTAATGGTGGTTACACTTAAACTTTGTTTGTGAATATACACATATCAGAGTATTACTTCATAAGTTCATGTTCAAAATATCAGCTGAATGTTCCAAAACCCAGATTTTATGTTGTAGGAAATATGAATTCAGTGAGTGTGTGTGAAAGAGAGAGCATGCATGTACTGTGTGTGTGCGTGCATGCGTGTGTGTCTAAACCAACATTTGAATTTTGTGTTCCTTTTCAACCTTACTGAACCGAGAGAAACTTTTAAAGTGTGTTTAATTTTCTTAAATTATTCCTGTACCTTCTGTTCTGTCGGAGGTTTTCCATAACATTATACATCCAGGCACATGTCGCACAGTTACATGTTCCCACTTCTGTAAGACTTGCACCAAATTACAGAGTGGTAATCAAGAGAGCAGAAGAATGTTTCAGATTGTTTTACTTTGTGCATATAGGAGAAACCAGATTTTGCTCAGGGTGTCCGAGTTGGTTCTGCAATGATCTGGCAACCAGTGCCATCTGCAACGGAGCGCAGTAAACTCAGGTAATGATTGTGGATATATTGTTAATGTGGCTCTACATGAAGGAGATCAAGGTTCTTGTCAAGACAGTCGAAGGTGTGGTATTTTGCATCAGAGCTCGACTAGATGTTAAGGTATTGTGGTTCACTTGTGTTACCAACTTTAGCGGTTGAAATGGTACCAGGACATGTAGTTTAATATAATTTGTATGCATGCTGGTTATCTGCGGACCACAATATTACGTAGTGAAAATGTGAATGCCTTAAATTTCAAGTATTTATCCATCAAAATCTAGAATGGTTAATAAGTAGTATTTGCATTGCTTACATTTTTAATTAATTATTGTCATGTTGTGATGTTTCAACCTTTATCATATCAGTGGGATACATTACATTAACTCCTTAATAACTTACAGATTTATGAAGGGAGACATTTTGGTCAGTATTTCCTTGCTGATGCAATCATCATGTCCAAACATCTTCAAATATACTTCTCATTCCAATGCTGAAATATTTTGGGCTGCACTGAAACAAAAAGTGAAGACATACCGGCCAGTATGCATACAAAACAATAAAGAGAAACTCTCATCTATTATAAAGACTATATGACGATATTAGGTGATGGATGCTGCTTGCTGAAGTTGAAGTTCAGTCCTTTGACAATTGACATTGGTGTTGTGTTGAAAAAAATAGCAATTTAGCACATTTTGGTTTTCGTTTTGATTATCACATCAGAGTTGTTCTACACTCAAGCATAGCTGGATAACCATGAAAGTTCAAACCAGTCAGCACAATGTTATCACAACCTTGATCCTCAGTTTGTGACAGAAGGCGATTTCTTATACCACTATTATGTTGGACATTGTCCATTTTATGAATTTTATTTGATATACACAACATTTCTGGCATAGGCCGTACTCCCAACTGAAGATATCTTGTTCTAATTATACTGACACATATTTCTTTATTTTATTTATTTAAAGATAATGGTGACAGTTTGGATCAAACCTGGGACTTCTTTACACCTAGGCTAGTACAGTAACCTTTATACTGATAGGCCTGGTTTTTCCCAGCTATTACCACTGATTATGGAATAAAAAAAATAAAAATGTCTCATTATGAATGTATGGTATTCTTAATGTATCAGTCAACACAACAATTCTATGAGAAACAAGTCAGTACTACTGTACCATACTATATTGTATATGATAACACACAACAGGATGCAAACAATAAAGATTTCTCATCATAATGACAATCACTCACTTGAAGCTGAGAGTACAACTATCTCCCAAAACTTTGTATCAGATATATTTCAGATGATAGACAGTATACAACATAAACATACAATAACTTAAAATGTACAGCCAGGCTATGATAGACTGAGTATAGCTTTTAATGGGACTTAGTTGTAGTGACATAAACCACTATAACCATCAGTTTCTAAATGTTTCATATATGGAAAACCATTGCATAAAATGAAAGCTTCTTTCCTATTCCTGTTTCATAATAAGTGATTCTTAGCTATCTGCCACTGTTCTCACATAACTTTTGTGCCAACTGTACCTACAGTTCTGTTTCCAAAGTTATTCATGGCTAGCAGTTCCTAAAGGTCCTGATAACTCACCCCCTTAGTCCTACCCTCGTCTGAGATAAAGTTTGCATTCCAGAATTTGATACCAGCTCCCTCCCCCTTTCCCCTTACAAGCTCTGATCGCTCAGAGATATGATTTCCTCTGAATGTCATCAGCCCAATGGCTTGTGTTGCTGTGTATTGTATCATGTGGCTTGTTTGTAGGGGCATTTTGCAGTATCTTACCCTCCTTGTCACATAAGTTACATCTTCCCCTGAGCTTTCACTGACCTCAGACAGTGATGTTACAGAATACAACTATGCATGCATATATTTAAGGGTTTTTCCCCTCACCAACCATTTTCCACTCCCCTTGTCGAAGAGGAGGCTGGATTTCTAAACATATTCTCATACATTGTTTAGGAGGGAACAAAAATCTTAGCCATGGATCTTGCGGAAACCTGAAACCAGGGATGAATGTACTGAAAATGGCTAGCAACAATTTAATCGACCTACTGACTAACCTACGTTCTCTGTTTTCTGATTGGCACTGACTGCAAAATTTTGAAAAATCCTAATGGTAACATACTTGGTTGAGGCACTGTGCTACAAGCCTGAAGGTCGCAGGTTCGAGTCCCGATGAAATGGATTTTTTTTCAATTTACCTAATCCTTTCAGCCACACTATGGCCCTGGGGTCGACTCAGCCTCTAACAGAAATGATAACCAGTAATCTTCCTGGGGGGGTAAAGGTGGCCGACACATAAAGCTGACAACCTTACTTCTGTCTGTGAGCCAGTTGTATAGAGAAGATGTGGGAGCCTTGACATGTCACAACCCTATGGGCCTTCACGGCCCATTACAAAGATAGCTTTACCTTTACCTTTCAGCAACAAAATTAAGGAGTTTAGACTTGAATATGAAGCTTGAAATAATACATCAGTGTGATGTTGGCAGAAAATCAAGAAGTTTAAATAGGAAGACGAGATGGATTAACTTATAGAAACATCAAATCCACAAAGATAACTAATAGAAAACAATATTATTTATTCACAGAACATGGTGTTCACTGTGTATGTGATAAGGTAATGTTGTCCCTGTGCTTAATTGATTAAGCACTATGCCATGAAGGTGTATAGGAGAGTAGATATATAGATACACATTTTCTTGACCTCGACACTAACTGGAGGTGAGTGGTTAGCTTCACACTCTGGCTGCTTTACCCCCAGGGAAAGTGCCCCCACTACCCACTGGATAGGAGGTTGGGTGGACCCCAGAGCCGGTCTGGACAATGTGGAAAAGAGAATATTCTTGACCCTATCGGGACTCAAACTCCAACCCCTCGGTCATCCAGCCTGTAGCCAGTCACTGTCCTGGCTCTGTGTATGTGGTATATATGTGAATAAATATGATAAAGGTTGAAATATATGTTGTATGTTTATGTATAGTGATAAAGTGTATAGAATATGCTGTGAGGACAGTGTTTAAGCTGTGTTTGTGGATATGAGAGATGCTATTATTTTATGTTTCGCATGATACAGGGTAGTGTATAAATCCTGACATATATCTATTGGAGGGCATTTGCTGTTTGCTGCATCCTAAGTTATGGGAGTACATGTTAATTCCATATGCCTGCTGCACTTTCAATTATGTTAGTTTAGCAGACACCCACCAGATAGCTCTTGTTGCACCTAGTAATGGTATTTTACTTACTGCTGTGGATATTTAATTACAGGTGATCATGAAAACTCTGCCTATTTTAAAACTATCTTAAATTTTAATACATAACTTTATACATGTTACCATAATTCTCTTATTTCACAGATACCTAGGCATTTCTTACATTAACTACATGCATTTGAAGTGTGTAATAAAAAAGTTTTGTACATTTTAGCTAGAAATATCTTAGACTAACTAACCGAGAGCAGGTAATGTATAGAATGAAGTTACAGTTTTTGCATCCTAACTTTCATGGAATAACTAGTTAAGAATGCAGATTTTTTCCTCATTATATTCTTTAACCAAACCATTCAGTTATTGTATTAAATACCAAGGAATTCTGTGAAATAATGAAATTGCACATGTTTCTAGAGGGCCTTGCTTACTTATGAATTAATTAATTTGGTAACAGAACCCAGAAGTTCAATCCTGCTGATACTAAAGTGTATCCATCTCATATCCTCAATGCCTGTTTTGCCAGGATACATTCTAATATTTTCCTCCTGTTCTTTCAGTCTTTCAAGTGACTGTCTTTGAAAGAATAGAGCAAATTGATACAAGGGTAACACTGTAGACCTGTATTTGAGAGGTACTTGGCTTAATCTTGTCCAAATTTACTACCATTATCCCTGAGACTTTCATGGTTGCTCTCAATCCTGCAGTCAGGTCAAGTGTAATACTTTTAACATAGACTGCAGCCACTTCTTACTGTGTCCTCAATTCATCAGTTCTGGTCATCAGCCTACAAGTTGTCAAGTGTCTATCCTGTCATTGTCCATTCACATACTCATTGTATTTGATTTCTGTGGCATTTCCTCCACAGCTCTTACCCCCCACCCAACTCATTACCTTGGTTCTTATTCTCAAAATATTTGTCCTACTTCTCAGCAATACATGTGTTACAGTGTTTAATTCTTTGTCTGTCCATGTTACTGTTGGTGCAGCTTTTCCTTTAAATATAGGCTGGGAATTCATGTAATGACATGATGTATCATGTATGCACTTTAATTTGGAAATGACAATATTGTTTGAAGCACTGAGTTGGTAGATTTCGTAGTTGCCTTGTAGCCCCCATGTGTTTGTGTTTGCATTTCAAAGGCTGGGGGGCGCTGACGACCAAGCTGCCAGAACAGGGGACATCACAGACGTGTACACCGAGACATCCTCTAGTCAGAGTGCAAGGTGGGTTGCATGTAGGTGTTACACCTCTTGATTGTATATGTATGGTTTGATACTCCACATCTCAGTAGCCCATTGCTTCATGTTTGGGAAAATTCCATACAAGATTATTTCTTTGTCATGATAAGCAAATTTACTGCAAGCAGTTATCAAAACAACATGGTAATTCATTTACTGACTTTCTAGACATAATCTGTTGTTACATTTAATATTTACAACTTTTCAGAGATGACTCTGCCTCTGCCCTCAGGTGAAAGGCCTTCTCAGTTGGGCCCAATGAATAGTTAATCCCTGTCTGCAGAGATAGGGATACTGAGGATGGAGGCTGAGTCCTACCAAAACCTTTTAAAGTCAAAAAAATTATTGTGTTACTATACCATTGTCACAGATTTTTAGATCTTATTAACATGTTAATGGTGTCACTGTCATCTTTAGCTCAAATTGTCATTTTCAGCTATTCCCATGACTCTTGCAGAAAATAAATAATCATATTTTTCCAGTTATATTACTGCTTGTATAATTTGGTTCTTCCCATCCCCTTCTTTCAAATGCAGGAAGCCTGGTGGTCTAGGGTTGTATTCCTGGATTTATGTGTCAGAGGTCTCAGGTTCGAGACCAGTTGCGTTTCAGGTTTCTCACGTGTCTCTGACAGGAATCACACTATTAATATGGGGAGTATTACACTGCTACTGAGGTTAAGATCATAGCGGCCTCCGTAGTCTAAGGGTAACGTTCCCACCTCATGACTCAACGTATGCGGGTTCAACCCCGGCGGAGGTCGTGGAATTTTTAAGGGCGGAAAAATTCAGGGAATAAGTCCTCTGGGAGGGACTTTAAGCCATGGGTCCTGTGTCGTAGATTTACGGCACGTAAAAGATCCTCATGTCTCTAGGAGAACTCTGAGCAAAATTAGGCAAAATGTTTCCCGCCCAAGCAGTTTCCAGTGCCTTAGGTAGATGGGGAAAGTTATCGGATACCAATGCCAGTAGAGGGTCGACCTCGCCGGCAGAAAGGGGAGAGTTATCGGGTACCACTGCCAGTAGAGGGCTGACCTCACTGGCAGAAAGGGGAGATAGTGGGCACCAGTATCGGTAGGGTATGGTGACAGTAGAAATTAAAGGGGGACGTACAATAGACTATTAGTCGCGGTGCATGGGGAAACCCACCAACTCTATACTGAATAACTCAATAACTGAGGTTAAGATCATGCTATCATCACATTATTATTGGGAGTATATCTAATTCTGCTAAAGGATTCTTGTGCCTCAGAAGTAAATTCCATCACCCTTTCCAAATCAGTCATGAATTAGCCAGGATACATTTTTGCTGTCGTTTGCATGTAGAGATGTAATTTTGACTCTTTTGTACATCTGCTTCAAGTGTGCTTGGAAGAGCTGAAATGCAATAGTTGCAGTATCAAATTTATGTATGTACAGTAAAACTATATTGTGAAAGTGCTATCTTTGTTAGTATTCTTTGTGACATGATGTTGGTCTCATACTTTGAAGAATTGTACAATGTTATCACTGTGTCACATCTGTAGCAAAATGTCTGGCAATACAGTATTATACTGATAATTCAATTAGTAGATAAATTATAACTTTTCTCACTTGATATACTGTAGAGAAGTTATTAAAAATAATTTTCAGAGCAGAAAGCTGTATGTTCACCATTTAAATATGAATTCACCAGTTGGTTGTGAGTTGATGTTTCCTGATTTAAAGTGTTATTAAAACTTTATTCTGTACCATAAACTGTAGGCCTATAGCAATGATTACAGTTTCCATTTTGTTCTGAATGAAACCAGTATGTATAAAGTATAAGTTTTCGTTTTTTAACATTCTTCTCAGTACTTGTAAAGATTTGACATTCCAATTTTATGAGTTAGATGTGTTTTGTAGCAACATTGTTAGTTCTTAATTGGGATTCCCCATTCACCTACCTTCTTTTTAAATTTGCACTTGTGATGAACAACATTCTTGAGTTTTCTCTTATAACAGTATGATATGTGATCGCCAATTTTAAATGCTGCTTCAGATTCTGTATTCAGGTATAAGTACTAAAACACAAGGTGAATTGTCTTCAAAACCAGAAGAAATAAGATAACCAGAATATGTTAATATCTTATGTATGCTGTATATGCCAGAATCTGTTATAATTCTGTAGACACTGAACAGTCAGTCACCTAGATAAGGTTAGAAGAAATAATGCTGACTAAGTGCATAGCATGTGTTGTGTATGTCACATGACAAATAAATTCACGTAGCTTATGGATTCAACGATTATTTATTGAACTCATTCATCCACACTTACTTCGAGTCAGGAATACAATTACTATCACTTGCAGTATCACAACTACTGCTTCTACTTCAGTACTTCTACTGCCTTCTGCGGCTGTGACAACTGTCCTTGGCCGTGGCTGGATCTTGAGTAACTTGGCGAATGCCTTCAACCCTTTTTATAACCTCAGCCACTGCTATGCAATGAACCCTCTAACAGTTTGTTGTAACTGTGGAGACTCACTGTTAGAATTATAATACTGCATTATTCCGCTGTCTAAGAGTAGGTTGTTGCAACTAGGAAGTGTTATCCTTTGTCTAGCAATGGCTGTTTGGAATAATGCGTTCTTCAGCACGTTACAATATACATGTACACTTGAAATCCTTTTAACCTTGTATAGCTCTGAATGGTTGCTTTAGAGGAAGCCCATTAAATCGCACATACACCAAATGCTCACATTGGTGATGTTTGCACACAGCAGTATTGAGTTGTGGGGGTCTTAATGTAGTTTTGTCATTACTCCGATGACAACCCACTTCTTCGGAACAGTTTGTTGGTCCTGAAAGGACCGTGGTTGCTGAGATGCTTGACTGGTGAGGTAGCGCGGCACGCGCCGGTAGGGAGAGAGGTTAGTTACGGTGAATGGACTGGCTGCAGTGCGGCCGTTGCTGGAGGTTGCTTGGTCGCCGTGCGGCAGGGGAGTTGGAGGTTGCTTGATCGCAGCGTGGCGGCTGCTGGTGAAAGGCTAGTCGTTGAGCGCGGTTGCTGGAGCGGAGAGGCGGTAGCTACGCCAGTTGCCCAGTGTGTCGGGTATGACTACCGGCGAGTCCGTGCTGCCTTGTTGCCCAGTGAGTCGGGTGCGACCGGCAGACAGCCATGGCAGTCGTGCCTGGCGCAGCGAAGCGCCGATGCCTCCGTAGACCGAGCGCTGGCAACGAAGCCTGCTGGCTGATGTTGCTTGTTGTGGCTAGCTCATAGACTGATGATCGACTGACTGACTCGGCGTTGGAGCTGCCCCTTTTTATACACTGCTCGGTGGGCCGAGCGAAACTTGAAATTGAGGAGGAAGAATTGATTGGCTAGCACGCGTAATGTTGTAGATGCGGGCTAGCAGGAGGCGCTGTATAAATGTGAACGTTTGAAGCAATCTGATTGGTTAGCGCGCATGATGGTGAAAATTGATGTGAAGAGCGAGCGTTGCAGAAATGCATGATAATGTGAGATGTTCCCACAGAGTAACCATTTTCAGTAACTCCTCATATGATCTATCTAAGAAGATTTTTGATACTGCGAGGCACAATAAGCCTGCTTCCTATTGTGCTGTTGTGTAAATAGATCCATCATGATGCTTGTCATAAATATTGATTGAGACAATAGAACTTTGTTGTGTCTCAGGTCACTTATAGTTAAGGTTTGATTGCTCCTCCTGCCAGATATTAGTTTGGAACTTGACAAGTTCTATTTTTAGAGCTGTTTATTACATATTATGAAACTGTAGCCAGAGGACTGTATAAAATAAAGTTCCTTGATGGAGTGACCAATGGCAAATGTAATGCAGCTTCAGTGTTATGTTAGTTCTTTATCTCTGTAACCAACATCCAGTATGGAAGAATTGTCACCTGTTGTGCAGATAATGTTCGGTGAACAGAGTAATATGGCAAGTAGACCCATTGCTAGGCAACTACCACAAAATAAGCAACTATACAACAGCCACTGCTAATTGACAGCCCTGCATACAAGCCTGTTTCCATGGCAACAATAGAATACAGCAACACTGGAAGAGAAGTGTTGTATGCAGTTCATGCTGAGATGTTATAAGCACAACCAGTTAGCAGTTGCAGTGAGTTAGAGAACTGCTGCAGTTCAGTTGTGGACATTAGTATGTGTAAAGTGTAGTCACGTGCTGTATCAAAGTGTGCAAGAATTGTAGTCATCAATCTGAAGCCCATCTATAATCACACTCCTTTCATGTGACAGTAAGCTATCAGTGGCAGTTAACCCCCCTGAAGTAAGCAGTTGGTGTAGGTTTCTACCCACATTTCTTTTTGAACTCACAGGCAGCAGGTGAATATGAAGGCCTGTCTAAATATCTTGAATTGACAAGATAGAAGAACCTGGCGTGACGGGAGCTATACAGTGGCATATTCTGAATTAGAGCTTGATGACAGCCACATTTCAACAGAAGACTGCCAGGAGAGATAATGGTGATATGAACTGGCAGAATTCCTAAAGCCCATTGTTTATTGGTGAAATATGTGGACTGAACAAATCAGCTGTGCAACATGTAGTCAAAAATTTGCAACCACTTGACTTTTCGTGTTCTTCAAATGGGTATTTCCTTTCATTCAAGGGGATAAAGCCATTACTTCCATCAAGACCTGTCAGCATGGATCACACCCAGTACATATCCTGTGCAAGACATCTAAGTGAAGAATCTGCAGCTGCAATAAATCCTATAGGACAGTTCAACTAGTGGTTGTCTCTTCATATGACATCCCACATTGGTGACCCCGACGTGATTGGAAGCACACGTGGTGAAGATCATCACTCCCCCCCCCTTGCGAGAAGTGTGCTGGTGGATGTTGCTTGAGTGAAGATTGATCGTACACTGAAGATGCCGGGTCGGAGCTACTCCTTTTATACGATGCTCGATGGTGGAGCGAAAATTTGCTGAGCGCTGATTGGCTAGCGTGCGTAATGATGTAGATGCGGGCTAGCCACAAGCACTGTATAAATGCAAACGTTTGAAGCAATGTGATTGGTTAGCGCGCATGATGGTGAAAAGTGAGCTGAGTAGTGAGCGTTGCAGAAATGCTTGATAATATGTGGGATGTTCCCACAAATCTGTCATTTCCTAGCCCATAACACCAAATGGATCATGATCAAAGAGATAGTATTAGTGATTATTGGTCAGGGGATGAGATTGACTTAAGCAGTAGTGTGTATATCTTGTACTTAGTAGGTGCCTGGTTTGATTCTTGGCCAGGACAATGTCTGTCTTAATATGACATATTATGCACATTACATTAGAGTCTACAAGTTTTGTTTGAAACAGTTTTAGATTGACTTGATATGTATGGAAACATGTTTAAGGACATACATATTTAGACATTTATAAAACTAGTAGCTCGTTTTATGAAGTTTGAACTGAGAAGCTACTGGAAATTTTAGTAAAGGCTTTCAACACCAAATTCAATCAAATCTCTATCTCTGGAACATAGTTTTTACATCTAGGTAGGCAGCTGTACTATTTGAAGTTAATTTGTATTCACATACCTTTATGAAATATATCAGCAATTATTTTTCATACAGAATTCTGAAAAATTCAACGTTTTCAATTTCCAAAATGCATCCAGCAAAGCGCAACATTGTGATATGTTTAAAGGCCATAACAAATAAAAATATTTGGCATTAGGTCCTATTGGCTCAAGTTCTGTTCGTGTAAAATTTTTCCCTTCTCCACAGCATCCAGACTGACACTAGGTCCCACCCAGCTTACTATCTAATGGATACCAGGAGCTCTTTCCCCAAGGCTAAAGTGGCAGGGTTGTGGAGCTGACCACTCACCTCCATCTATTGCCAAGATCAAGGAAGGTGCAGCTATACCTCCACTCCCCCATATGTTTTCATTAGCAGCTTTACCTTGCTCTTGTTTGGGGTTCCGTATCATTATTCACAGTACTGTGAGGCTTAGACTGCCTGTAGCTTTGAAAATAAAGTGAGAAAAAAAAGAAAACGCTGAATTTGTCACAAAACTTATCACATACGACACCAATATTGTTGGTTATGTATTTCAGAATTCTGAACATCTTTCATCATCCTGTGGGTTACATCAATTCACATCAGTGTGAAGTAACTTCACAAAATGTTGTGTGGAATTATAAACAACATTCTGGCATATAATGTGTTACTGTTTGTAAACAGCACTCTCTCATATAATGTGATCCTGTTTGTATATCTACATATTTATTGCATTCTTTTATCTGATGATAAAGTATTAGTTTCAGAATTTGAGTTTCCATTTCATGTGCATCATCTTAAACATCATTATTTTTTAGTTGTGCTTTTCAAATGGAAACAGTATTCCTGCAGTACTTTGTGTGTGTTTATGTCTGTGTTTGTGACCCTCTGTGTGTGTTTATATTTATATTCTGTCCTTATTCTTGTACGTTTATATGTGTTGGTTCATTTCTCTGTATGTTTTGTTGTATCTGTTTTCCTATAACTACATGAGTGTTTCCATCTGTATGTGTATATAGTGTGCTATGTCTGTATATGTTTTTATTTTCTCTTTTGGCCTTTTAAGTCCCCATGAGTTTGGCTTTATTTATCAGTATCTGTTTGTGTGTATGTGTGAATGTTTTAGCCCTGGTAGCCACTGTACTAATTCGGTGGCCTTAAAACAAAATGCCTGCACATTAGAATAATCTTTGTTGAATTGGGGTCTGTTCAACTACTAAACCCCTGTTCAGTGGTAATGTCTGCCAGTTTTATAATTCAAAATCTTTGGTTATGTAACCATTCCTCTCTTTTTCCTTGACTTGTATGTGTAGTTTTTGTTGAGGTAAACAGACACACAGACCACTAAAGTTTGGTATTTGTGACAGATACTAAAAGTAAATTAATATTTTTTAAATTATAGTCATACTGGTAGCATTGGATCCTGGCTTGACACTTTAAAAAGTAGCGTGGAACAAACTAGAAAACAGAAACGGTAGCTTGCGCTACTTATGTCCATCAGAATTAAAAATTGTTGCAAAGTGGAAGTGTGTACTAAATTCTTGCTTTCTGAGAACCTGATAGGAATCAGATTTCAACTGTTTAGTTTGTTTAAAATAGGAAACAGTATGAAAATTAACAATATTATAATTTAGTTCATATCAGATTACCTTCCTTGACTTTGTCTTTAATTGCCTTATAATACAAAGTTTCCCACATGCAGATGTAAAAGGTCAGATTTTACTGTTTCTGGAACAAGATCTGATTAAGGAATATTCTCTATTCTGAATGTAGAGTACCATCTCTCCTGATAGCTGTAGAAATTCAGAAGTAAATATATGTGGCATTTTACGATGCATAATTTTCAATTTCTGTGGAAGTATACACGCACAAACGGAAAACATTTTTTTTTTCTTATTTAAAACCCAAAATATGCGTTTAGTGTGAGCCATGTGGAAATGAGAAGGATATAGTTACATTTCATGCTCTTGGCAAATCAATTTTTGAATGAATTTTATAAAGGCACCTTTAATGTATCTTTTATTTATTTATTTATTTCATATAAATAGTTTATCAGCCAATGTCTTGCTTTAATGCAAATTTGATACTCATTTATTCAGAATTTTAGAATATTCATTTGATGTTGCACCCTGTTTAGTTCTGTAACGTTGTTAACTCAGCCACAGAAACAGAACTTGTCCACTTTGTCTTTTATAACTGTTATTCTCTGCAGAATAAATGCACAGACTGGATAAAAATTTATTGTATTTTCTTCATGTGCTATAGAACCTGTAAATCTGTAAATCTTCCTGTTACAAATTATTTTGAAGATGTTACCATTTAGTGTCCTGAATATAAACTCTGCAGCATTGCATAATAAATTGGGTTGGGATTTTTGTCATACTGTTGTAAAATACAAATGAGTCTTTGTAATATCATCAGTATGTTTCATTTTGCCTGCCCTTAACTCCTGTATGCGTGTTTCAGTTTTTTAACTTGTGTTGCTGCACTGTACTGGATTGCTTGGTTTAGGCTAGATCCTGTTCCCCTCCCAGCCAGGGCCAGCACATCACTGGACCAGATAGATGAAAGCACACCAGATGAAGTGGAGCCCTTGGGCAGGTGAGAGCCCATCCATCATAGGTTTTGTGCTGTTGGAATGCGAATTCAGCTCACTACTTACATGTTGCAAGAGCATTTGAGTCTCTTCTACTTAATGTAATAAGAATTTCACAATGCATTATTCCTTTAATATTGAAAAATCAGAAATTTGTATGTTTCTGGAAGTGGTGGTTTTATGAACAGTAAGTTTATATGGAGATGGCAAGAAATGAAGAAAAATTTAATATTATTTATTTTGCCTAGTCTTATTCATTAGCTTGTTGTGCAGTCATAAGATAAATTATCACTAAATCTTTGATAATGTAGACAGACCTGCAGTTTAATGCAGTAAAGAATTCAAATACATGTTAACACAGTATGACTAATGATAAATAATGTGCCAGTTTGCATAATTGTGTGTCCAGTGTAAAAGAGCTTTGTAAATAATTTAATACATAATAGCAGGTAACACACTACAATTTTAGTCTCATAAATAATGAATTAATTTTTATAAGATTACATTTATTACATATAGAGTACCATCTAAATTATAATACAAGTGATTTTATTGGTCACATTAAAGTCACTGCACCAGTTTATAAAAGTGACAGTTATATTTTTTAATGTTTTATTTATTTGATTCCCACCTACGATTTTATGTTCAGATTTTCCCAGCACATGACGTATAATAATGATATTTTATTATATAACAAACTCTTACATCACCACTGTATTTTATTTTGCTACAATACTTTGTTGTACAGAACTATTAGGCTTATTTTGGACTCTATCCATCATGTGGTATATATTGTCTTCTATATACCAGACGATGGATAGCGTCTAAAATAAGCCTGATAGTTCTGTACAGCATACACCATTGTCAGAATCCTTTCAAGTCTGATTACTTTGTTGCTTTATCGATACTGTATACTTTTCCTAACCTAAACTTTAATTCCTTTGATTTAAGTTCTGCTTAGACTAAATGGAGAGACATAACTAAATCTTAACCCTGTTTTGAATTAATTAATTTATTTGTGTTTTGAGTGTGGTGTGTGTATTTCTTGGTAAGATTTGTTTCTCTCCCATAAAATATCGCTTCTGCTGTGNGTATACTTTTCCTAACCTAAACTTTAATTCCTTTGATTTAAGTTCTGCTTAGACTAAATGGAGAGACATAACTAAATCTTAACCCTGTTTTGAATTAATTAATTAATTTGTGTTTTGACTGTGGTGTGTGTGTATTGCTTGGTAAGATTTGTTTCCCTCCCATAAAATATCGCTTCTGCTGTGGTTTTGTTGTGTATCAGAACAGGACTAATTTCTTTAAGTAGATGGTGATTTTCATGACAATAACAGAATTAATTAATTAATTTGTGTTTTGACTGTGGTGTGTGTATTGCTTGGTAAGATTTGTTTCTCTCCCATAAAATATCGCTTCTGCTGTGGTTTTGTTGTGTATCAGAACAGGACTAATTTCTTTAAGTAGATGGTGATTTTCATGACAGTAACAGAATTATTTATATTGTCTGAGCTTCATTACAAATGCAGTTCTATGGTTTCATTGTGTGCTGAAATAAGTTCTGTGGTGCTAGTGTGTGAAATTTGTAATTATGTTCCAGCTTCATTGTCAGCATCCACATCTTTGTTGCCATTGTCTGCTAACAGTCTTGTAGAAACTAAATGTCAAGGATCAAGATAACTAATATTGGGTTTGGAAATATATCATTTGGTTCACATTCATTCCAGAACCTAGTTAACTTTTGACATACATAGTCCAAAACCTTGTAACTGTTTGAGGTTCACTTACTTTAATGCATGGCACTCCACAAGGTCCAGTTTATTTTGTCATTCTAACATAGGATTATAATGTGCCGTTTCTGAATGCAAGACTGAATTTAATAGAGGAGTCCCTTTGAGGTTCATTTATTTTGGTTTTTGACATGCCATTAGTTGCCTTCTGAGTTATTCTCTTTTAATTATAAATTATTGCTCTCAGTTCAACAAGAGAGTGGTACATTTCCCAAAGTCAGACTTGAGTCCTGCCAATGACTTGAAAGGGTAAAATGTGATTTTTATGTAATTTCCCATCTTTTAGAAACAGCTGGTTTTGAAATTATTCACTATAACTTCACAGATATTAAAGATAAAGAGTTTGTACCTGGATGTGGACTGGAGACAACTTATGCCTTACAGATCCACGTTCTGTATTTTTATTCCCCTGTAACGAAATGCCATTTTCAAAATTGGCTACAGCTGCTTAAGTATACCGACTCTGCTAAACATCATGTTAGTTGTTAAAAGTGATTACACGGTCAAAAGTGCTGGAAGCAGTTTGCATGGTATTTTACTGTACTACAGTTAGTTTGAATTTGGCAGTTGCTCTAATGCCATGGGAAACTGGGATAATGCAGTTGGTGTAACGACTGGCTACAGGCTGGACAACCAAGGGGTCAGAGTTCAAGTCCCAGTGGGAGCAAAAATTTTCACTTTTTGATGTCATCCAGACTGCTCTGGGATTCACTCAACCTCCTATCCATTGGGTACCAGGGGCTTTTTCCCACGGAGGTAAAGCAGCCAGGATGTGAAGCTGACCACTCGCCTCCAACTGGTGCCAAGGTCAAAAAAATCATTGGCGTATACATTGACTCCCCCACACATCTTCATGGCTTAGTGCTTAATTAGTTGAGCACAGGGATAAGTTCACTTTACCTACCTTACTTCTAATGCCATGGATAGCCGTGTTAAATAATAAATAGACTTCCATTTGAAAAAAAAACTCATCTTCAGAGTTGTAATACATGAAACAGCATACATGAGAGTTCTTTAAGATTTGTGTCTCCATTTTTGGGCAATGACACTGTGGTATGCTAGTTTGCCAGTGTTTTGGAGGGACTTTACTATGAAGATGGAGACAGATACTTTTTCTGAAATATGAACACACCAGCCCACCACTAAACGGTATCATCAGCAAAAAAGGATAATGGTTATCAGTTTTGGGTCAAACCAGATAGAATTATGTACAAGTGCTTTTACATTCATAAAAGAGTCCTGTATGACAGCATTCCACCCTGGTTGCATGGAAATGGTGCATGTGGTGCTGGGTTGTTGTGGGTAGTGTTGGTGTGTAGTTTGGCTCTGTCTCCCCTGCAGACTCCAGGTGTGGGCGGAGGAGATGCTGACTATACCTGAGATCCGTGTTCTGGCCCCTAGTATGGAGCGTGGCCTTGATTTGTCTGATATTGGCAGGTAACCTGTCATTCCTTGTGTGTGGATGCATGGATAATGTTGTGTATACCAGAATAATGTTAAAAAGAAATTAAGCTCAGGGTTTGGAAGCTGAATTCACAGATATACTGCACACTTCATTAACAGAGATTCGGTGGAAGCATTCTTCAAATGGTGAAGTGAATGGTTAGTCAGTTGCTCCCAAACTATAGTTTATGTGCAATTGTGGCATCTTAATATATTTCATGGTGTTAACATGATAGAAATGTATAACATCAGAATTTTTATGTGCCAATGTTATTTTATCTTTACAAATCCTGAAATTCATGTAAATGACATTTAAAATTCCAGTTCTTGTCTCACAGAAATCACACTGTCTCCCCATTGTAAAGATCAACTGTTTAATTATAAGAGTTTCTTTATATCATCTCAAACTTTATTTGTATAATGATGTAATTATTTCCAAAACATGTTTTGGTGGCATAACCATCATCAAGGGGAGGTTATGCAAAAATGATACAAAAGTGCACTAGAATATTAAGTTTGTGCAAAAGTCATTCTTTGCGTATTCAAAGTCAGATCCATGTTGTAATTTTACAAACATATATTATTAAACTAGCTGTACCCGGCCACACGTTGCTGTGGCTCACTCTAACGAAATATTTCAATTCAAACGCAGATCAATCGACACAGCTCAATCCCACCGCCAATTGCACTGAAAAATAAGGAAATCAGTTAAGAAAACGAAATGAAAAACAATGAAAAATAAACTATACTCACGAAATGAACGCTATGGTAAACAACACAGCCCAATTCCAGCGCAGTGTCACACGAAATAATTAAATCAAAATGAAAATAAATCGAAACTGTTCATATTTGGCGGTAGCTATCCCAAGACTGACTCCTTCAGTGGTTACTTCCAGACTCTCTTTTGTATCCCTTGGCATCTGCCCCGAGACTGACTGCTTCTTGTCCAAGCTGGACTATTTATACCTCAGTGGATGCTATACAATGAGCCTTCTGTTGTCTATCACTGGGGAAACGCTGCCAGAGTCGAATCCAAAACTCTAACTCAGGATCTCTGCTGTTATTTCACTCGGAATCTCTTGTGATACTTGTGACCTCGTGATACTCAAGACACTCGTGATACTGAACAGTCGCCAGAGCTACACTCTCTTATACATATAGCCAGCGTTCAGACGGGATAGGGAACACCTTATTGAAGAGTTAGTTTCATCTGTTGCTTAGGAAATGCTAGCACAGAACACCTTGTAGAAGTGTTTGGTTTCATCCGTTGTTACACAACAGAACCTCTTATCCTCTCATCTCTGGGGAAATGCGTTTGTTGTTTCGGCAATTCCTATGCAACGGCCCACTGTTATTGCGTTTCCATTCAAGTATACTTTCCGGTTTCATCCGTTGTTACGCAACGGAACCTCATATCCTTTAATCTCTGGGGAAACGCGTTTGTTGTTTCAGCAATTCCTATGCAACTGTTATTGCGTTTCCATGGAAGTATACTTTCCGGATTCACACGTGGCCGGGTACAGCTAGTAGGTATATAAAAACACGCACACATTCGAATGCAACCTTGTGTCAAAATTTCGAAGCAATCGGTGAAGAACTTTCGGAGATTTTTGAGGGGTAACAAACGAACATTTACATTTTTATTTATATAGATTATTAAATATAATTTCCTTTCAGTTCATAAAAATTTAAAAACTAACTATTACATCAGTAAGATTATGTCATGATATATGCACATCAGCTGGGTTTGTAGTTGTTTTATTGTTATGAATTGTCATGTAGGTAAGATGACCTCCTATCATGTTATTTCTTGTATGAGAAAAGATGTAAGTTAAAATCTTTATTTTTGATGCTAACAAGGTTCCGTACCACATCAGATGTTGGCGTATGCCAATGATGTGAATCTACTGGGTGATAATGTAGATACCATAAAGAAAAACACACAAACTTTTAATTGATGCAAGTAAAGAGGTTGGTCTAGAAGTAAACACAGAGAAAACTAAGTATATGTTGCTATCTCGTCTCTTCGGTAGTATGTCCAGCTTACCCCAGAAACAGGATATTCATATGGTCCCCTAGGAGATTGGCAGTTATTTATAATAAAGAAAGTGCAGCTACATGAACACTTGAAAGATTCCATATTGTAATGTGGATGGCTGGAAAGTTTCTAGACAACAACCTACAGTTGAGATGAATATTTATAGCTTGTTTGTTAGGCAACATTCAATGCGCCAGTGGATGGATGAGATATCATGTGACATGTTTTCTGTGTGGTCTGTGTCAACAACAATAGAATTGGTTCCTATACAGTCCATGCTGCAGCTACATAACAAGAGCTGTGAGCTGTAAGTTGAGAGAGAATTATAACTAGAAGTAGAGTGACAGAGTTACTAGGAACAGCTATGAGAACAGTTATACTAATTATGAGTTACGAGAGCGGTAATAGCGGTGGAAGCACGCGAACAGAGGAAATTGGAACCAGGAATACAGAAGAACACAGGAGGTCATCCTGTGAAGGTTTAAAGTTTTATTCGAACATTTTATTTTTGTGTAGTAGTTGGAGTGATTTGAAGCGCTATTTCATGTGTTTTAATTGCGTTACCAGGAGAGGACTGGTGTGTGTGTGTAACAGTGAATTACAAAGTTTAATTCAGTGATAGCACTGTAGTAAATGTGATTAAGAGAGACTGTAACCGAAGTGCTAATAAATCCAATCATCCTAACCAAAAAAGTGTCATTCTCATCATGCGTACCGCCCCACACATGACAGTATATACAAACCTAATTACACAGTCATGCGAGGGGGTACCCAAAAGAGACGGAACTTATTTTTTTTTAAACTTATTTATTCAAATTTTAAGCACAAACCTTCAATCCCCTTCAAAGTACTCTCCACTTACACTAATACACTTGTCTAGTCTTTTATTCCATTTTTCAAAACATTGTCTAAATTCATCTTTTGAGATGCTTGACAGTGCCTCCGTCGTTTTTTCCTTCACCTCAGCAACATCAGCAAAACGCTTTCCTTTCATGTGTCTTTTATTCGAGGAAACAAAAAAAAGTCGCACGGGGCAAGGTTGGGTGAGTATGGAGGGTGAGGAATGGGGGTCATACCATTTTTGGTCAAGAATTGTCGTACAGACAGGGCTGTGTGAGCAGGGGCATTGTCATGATGGAAAACCCACAAATCTGGCTGCTTCCACCACAAACTGTTGCGCAATCTTTTCAAAACTTCCAAGTAGAAAGCCTGGTTAACTGTCTGACCCTGCGGAACAAACTCTGAATGGACGACTCCTCCCACATTGAAAAAACAAATGAGCATTGTTTTCGTGTTTGATTTCACCTGACGAGCTTTCTTGGGGCGAGGCGAACTTGAAGTCTTCCACTGCCTTGATTGTTGCTTTGATTCAGGATCGTAAGCATAGCACCAGGTTTCGTCACCGGTAATAATTTTTGAAAAAAAGTTTTGATCATTTCGGGACTCTTCTTTCAAAGCACAGCATGCTTCCACGCGACCTTGTTTTTGTTCAGCAGTCAGCAGTCGTGGCACGAATTTCGCAGCCACCCTTTTCATTCCCAAATCTTCTGTCAAAATTCGCTGAACTGAGCTCCAAGTCACTCCCGACAGCTCCACAATTTCTTCAATGGTCCGTCGTCGATCTTCCTTGATGATTTCACGAATTTTTTCAACATTTTCATGTGTTCGGGCCGTGGAAGGACGACCAGAACGAGGTTTGTCATCAATTGACATTTCACCATTTTTGAAACGGGAAAACCACTCAAACACTTGAGTTTTCCCCATAGCATCATCCTTGTACGCCGTTTTTAACATTTCAAGAGTTTCTGTTCCACTTCTCCCGAGCAAAAAGCAGAATTTCACCGCCACATGCTGTTCACGAAAATCAGCCATTACAAAAACGACGATCACACAAAACAGTTGTCACTATAAACTCTGCCGAAACTAGTCCTTACCTTCTGAAGCAACGGTAGTTGGCTTATCGACTCAGGAATGTTAGCTCTATGCGCTCACAGTGGCAAAACGAGGTACTGCAAAAGCTCTGCCCACAAAAAAATTAGTTCGGTTTCTTTTGGGTACCCCATCGTATGAACAGTGAACTTATGGACATACATAATCCAGTCAATGACAATTATAAATTCCTCAGACAACAACTCTTGCATCACCTAGCCTGATCATACCCTCATTCCCATGCTAAAACCATTTCTGTAGGTCTCACACCGGATAGGCAGAATACAGGTCATCCCCTGCAAGACAGAAACCCTCAGTGCTAAATCTTATGTAAATACTCTATAGCATACTTTACCAGAAAATAACAAAAAGATAACTGAAAAGGACTTCTGTATGGTTTTAGATATTTCCCATGTGCCAGAATACTAAACCGAAGAACCCCAATGAACACAAATATAAGTAAGATAATTTGGTGGCTAAAGAATCCAGTCACAAGAAATTAGTATTCTAGATAGCTCAGTAATCCAGTAAAACCGGGAAGAAGATGGCTTGATATTTGAAGATAGAAAAAACTAAAAAGCTCAGCGCTTGAAGATGATGATAATGGTGGATAGCTCAGTCTGTATAGCATTTAGGCTATGGTCTGGACAGCCAAGGAACCGGATTTGATTCCCAGCATGGACAAGAGATTTTTTTCTTCTCCACAGTATCCAGACTAGTTCTGAGGCCCACCCAGCTTCCTGTCCAATAGGTACCACTCACCTCCATCTAGTGCCAAAGTTGAGAATGGTGGAGGAATACATCCACTCACCCATACATCTCCGTCGTGTAATACATAACTAACTAAGCACTTGGCTCACCTTACCCATAACATTTCAATTTTGTAACATCTCAGCTCTTCTTTATAGATATTGCAGGCTGACCAAAAGAATAAAATATGGAACCTTGTTGGAGCCAACCAAAAATTAAGATTATAACATCCATCTCTTCTCATGCAAGAGACAGTATATGATAAAGAGTTAATCTA